AAAAAGATCAGCAGGGGTTGGTGGCATGAAAGCATTCTGCAAGAGCTAAACTCGTAAATCTCGTCATGAAGACAAACGCGATTTGGACGGAGGCATCATCTAAATAGGGAACATTTCATTTCATAATTTAGGGAGAAAATGTGATTATGGGAGAAAGCGGAAAGAAAACAAACACGGAAAACAAGATTCCACTGTATCAGATTTCAACTGGATTTAACATAATAACAAAAAAATGTCTTCCTGAATAACTTACGAGTTCCCCGCGTTCTCTGTATTAGATTGTGTGTGTATAAAAATACTGCTCAGTCCGCTCCACAGCATCAGAACCGCTTCACCTGTCTGCGCTCTTGCCTTCTCTGCTTCTTCTCATTCACCTCCTCCGGTGCTGAAGGGTTTTCCGCCATAAACCAGGGGCCCAAAAAGTTCACCCAAAGCAGGTGAAGAGCCCGACCAGGGGCCTGGGACACGGACAAAGATGTTATCAGGGAATAAAGCATCAGAATTGTGTTGACATCTTCTGGAAAATGTTCTTACCAGCAGCCAAAGGTACCAGAAATAAGCAGAGAGGGTGCTAAGCACTTGAACGATGGCAGTGAGCAAGATTACATCTTTTAGGTGCCTAAAACCAAAAGAAGCAGCACAAATTATCAGTGAAGAAGTATTTCGCCACATTTTCCCACAAACACTAACACTGTAATGTACCTACTATATGAAAAAAAACTTACTCTGCCATTCCCTGCTCCATGTTTAGGTCTATTCCTCCATCCAGCAGACTCCCATCCTCGGCAAACACGGGCTTGGCCATGGCCGACATGGAGCGGTAGCTCCCAACGTACACGGCGAGCGCGAACAGCAGCAGCAGCTTCGGGAAGCATGTGTGTGTGTGTGTGACAAGTTCAGGCCCAAGAAATATGACAAGATGTGCTCTGACAGCTTAGGAGAAGCTTGAATTGACTCACCCAGGTCCAAAAGGTGGAGGAACCATAGAAAACTAGAAAATTCACAGCGGCATATATTGCCTGCAAGAGAAATTTGATTAGTTGTGGGGACAGCTAATCAATGTTTTCACTGAGCAAAATTTTTTGTTCTCATTAAACAGCTAGTGATAGTTTTCTATTAAAGACCGCTGATAGGGCAGAATGTGTGATCGTTGCCATGATTCGTAAAATAGTTGTTCAATCAAATGCATTTCTTTTTAGTATCTTTGTGATCTGGTAAAACCTTACACATCACATTGAAGCTGAAGGTCTCCCAAACAGACCCACTTTTATCTAACCCAGGAAAGCTGCTCCTTTAATTTAGGCACTCAGATAACAGCACCAGGGGATACCACCAATATTTTTTCATAGCAATCTTATGGCTTAAACTGCTTTCAATCAGATGCCAGATTGTGAGTCTTCTCTGGCTGTTTGGAGCACACACCAACAGTGGACTGCTTCTGCCCTGCCTGTTGCTGTGCACTGCCGGTCAGCAGGTGGAGAGAAGCTTTCTAGTTTCTACCCTTTTCTCCTCATTCGGAAAAATTTCCCGGTGCAAAAAAAAGAATACCAACAGAAAACTAAAGGAGCTACAGTTTTGTTTTTTCAACCATGCAGTTTGACTAACAACTAGTTTTTCATACTGTCACCTTCCCACTATAGTGGCATAAGTAATGTGTTTCCAAATTTTTTGCCTAACTTATGTTTTGGCTTGTAAGTAAGACAATGAAAGGAGTTTTAAATCAACCTGAACTTTGATTGTGACACTAATTACCTACCTGTTCTTTTTGACAATTGCGAAACAAAGCCAAGTCTAAAAATGACATCAATGCATGAATGTGTATTTGTCTTACATTGGCTCCCAGGATGACTCTGGTGTAGAACTTGAGCGTCGCCTCGTTGTCCTCATAGATCTGCTTCTTTCCTTTTGTTCCAACTTTACCTTTGGGCTTCAGGAGAAAACACAGAGAGCTCGGTGAGCAATGAGGAGCAGCTCCCAGTCTGAACAAAACAAAGTCAATCCATTTTAACAAACAACAAATGCAAAATAATCGCCTCAATCACAGACTTCCTGCTTTCTGAAGGAAATGCTGCTCTCTCCTCCGATTTCTCTTTCAGCGTTATTTGAGCTGAAGCTTTTTAGAGTTGCAGTCAATGAAAAGTATTTCCTTACATTTAAATTAGTTGTGTGTCTTACATATTTTGCAAACACAAACTTCAGTTTACTTTACATTATTGTATGCGACAGACAGACAGAGTCATGCAGCACGGTTAGGTAAAATGAAAGTTATACAATATCTTTCTTTAACACTAATCGAAATCTTAAAAGTGACTGTGCCATGCATTTATATTTCAATAACCTTTGGAGCTCTCCTGATCAGTAAAAAGACAGACACCTGTATGTAATCCTAACTGATGCTCTATGGGAACAAGTGGAGAGAGCATCAGGAGCATCAGGGAATAACATTCAATTTGCATCTTTGATATCATTTTTGCTTTTGTCTGGGTGCAAAACTGGTTCGAGTTTACATTTGGATGCCCATTTTAAAAGTCTAAATAGACCATAAGTAGGTTATTTGTAATATATATATGTATATTTAAATGATAAATAAACATAAAACGTGGACTTAAATGGGCACCAAAAGCAAACTGCTTCTGAAGAGGTTTTAATACAGAACTTCCTGTTCTGGGCTGAACCTGAAAAAGAAACTAAAACGTGCTGTTATGACGTCTCGGTCGCCTGCGATTCTTTTGTCCCGTCAGAAGGACCGGCTGCAGTGACTGCAGTGAGTTCGTGCGGATATGAGCCACAGTCCCAGCTCCAGTCGCTGCTGTCGGGTCAAACTGTCCGCTTCCCTCACCGCCATTCCCTCTGCTCGTCTCTGCTGAGGATCTCCTCCGCTGCGTCGTCTCTGTCATGGACCTCACTCCGGCCGCCGCTTCTCCCCGTTATTCTACCTGCATAAAACAATCACAGCCCGGGGACTCAGTCTAGTAAAATTCCTTAGAAACACATCAGCACTCAGGGTTTCGGAGAAGAAAACATTTCCGGCGCATGAATATGACGTCGCGACAGGCGAGCGCGGCTTTGAGAACGTGAAGTGATGCTGCCATCTGCTGATCGGAAGGTGTATTTGTCAGTGGTGAAGCTTGGAGGGGGGGAGCAATTTATGACTTTTGAACTGCTTTTACACTGAGCACTTCAAGGGGCTTTCACCTTTTTTTTTTTTTTTTTTTTTTTTCCAAACAGAGTCTTTTTCTGAATTTCTGTTTCGGAGAGGTGAGTCAGATTAGGTGGAGAGTATCTGTGAGCATCAACCTTTAGATTGTCAGCTGGACTCTGGTCTGGACGTTTGACCATTCTAACAAATGCGCTTTTATCTAAACTGTTTCTTTGTTCCTCTGGCTGCGTGTTTAGTGCCGTTGTGCTAGGGTGAGCTTCTTGCAGCTTCTAACATGTCACTCTGAAGAGCTTTTTGGCCCTAATAAAGAAAATTATCCACACAGCATGACGCTGTCTCCACCGGGTTTCACAGAGGATGCACTTGTGTTAGTTTTCTACTCCACATAACTTTGTGAATGTTTAGGTCAAAACGTTCAGTTTAGGTTTATCTAAGCAGAACACATTGCTGTGTTTGTTGTGTCATGATTCACAGACGACTGCTAAACAGACTTCTTGGGGTGTGATTACTTTTGCGAACTGTGAACTATTTGACTTCTGCACAGCATGATAGAGAATGTTTTTTGTTTATTCTCGTGAAAGAAACCAAGTTTCTAGCCGCAGATGGAAAATGTAGTTCGTTACTGTTTGGATTGTTTAATCTGATGATGCTGTGTAACAGGCCTGCATCAATAATGTGTCAGAGACAAAGAACAAGTTTATTTTAAACAATTTGAAGTGAGACCAGAACTTCTGAATCGCTAGTTACAGAGAACATTTTCTTATGAGTCTGGGCGTGTTTATATTTTACTTGAAAGAGAAACGGTGTAGTAATTTTCAATATTTCAATGTTTCTCCAAGTTCTACTAAGAACTTTTTTTTTCTGGGACCATTAATCATTGTAAAAGGCACAATCTGGTCCTGTGTGATAAAGTCATGCACTACTTTGTAAAACCACAAATGAGCTGATTAAATGCATTTCATAGCAAGGTAATGATAGGGGTTTGATCAAAAGCAGACCTGTAGAATCAATAAACCATTTAACCTGACAGGAGACATAAAGTTGTTTGAATGATCTCAAAAGCAACACATTATGTCCCAGCGGATTACAAAGTCACTAACATCTATCATGTAACAAGACTGTTTCTCAGGCCTTGGGAACGAACCAAAGTCAGAGCTATTATCCACATACAGACAGAAACATCAAACAGTTTCAGGAATGGCCTTCCTACCAAAATCACTCCATAAGGAAATCTGTGGAGAAGTTCGAAGACCAAAAACGCCTCTGACAAAAAAAAAAAAAAAAGACATACATATTTTTAAGTCCCATCTCATATATGCCTAAAACTTTTGAAAACATTTTGCATACTGAAAAGACAAACGTGGAACTTTTATAAGGTTTGCATCTTGTTAGATCTGGTGTAAAAATGAACATAACAGCAAAGAAAAAAGAGCTCATGAGTGCAGACAAATTAATTCATTATAGCGGAATGCTCTGTTTGAATCCATGTGTTTAGGGTTTTTTTAATTTACTGTAACAAGTGATGCTGGTTCAGGCTTATATCTGGTCAGATTGTCTTACTAATTGTAGATTTTTATTTATTGATTGATTGATTCATTCATAATTTTTCAGCGCGTTAGAAATCCTAATAAAATCTTGTGTTTGCTGTAAGAATAAGAAACTGTGACTTTCTTTTTTTTTTTTTTTTTTTTTTTTTTTTTTTTTTTTTTTGTAACAGCGAACCAAAACAGTTTACTTAAACCACAATACAATCTAATCTAATCTAAACCACAGGAAGGCTCACGTCTCCCTCGAAGCCGCATGCATTGGTCACCTTCGGCCACCGTAGCAGCAGCAGACTCAGTTTCTAAATATCAACACTGGGGCTCGTCTCCTGCTTCAGTGGGTCGGTCCTCGTCGGACCGCGGAGTCGTCAGCCTGTTTCGGGGCTTGGTGGACGCTCTGATGTTTGCGCAGGTTGTGTTTGTACCGTGACAGCTCGTCCTGACCATGGAGTATCTGCTGCAGGTGAAAGTCGGAGCTTTGGTCGGCTTGTTGCTCCTGACGCTTCTGTTCGGATTCATCCCCGCTAAAGTCAAATGGTTCAGAGACACAAACGGAACAGGTGTGTGCTCTACATTAAAAAAAACATTTTATCTGTTCATTTGTGTTTAGTGAGGGAAGCTTCATTTGAAATGTATATGGGCTGTTTTAGGAAGACATTGCTCTCATATCTCAGCTGATCGCCGCTAATAATGCCTTAAAAAACGCATCTTATTGTCGCTAATTTACCCTTTTTTCCCACAACGCTAACGCCGAAAGGCAAAACGGAGGGTAATGTTTATTTCCAGTATCTCAACTTTTTATTACTATTTAGACGTATCAGCTGGGAAAGAGTTGAACCTTAAATTGAAAGAAATGTGAATGGACTTCCATGGGAGGGGAAAAAAACCTAAAAAACCCCGCTCCACCTCTGATGAATCATAGCGCTCATCCTGGATTGTGTCACATGTTTTGACTTCCGCCCCGTGTTGCAAAGGTAACCGGGCCCTGATGAGTTTATGTCCTGTGACAAAGGGTGTGTTTGATCCATAGCAGAATCAAGGCAGAACGAGGATCGACCTTTGAAATCCCTCAATCAACAAAACAATGCAGCTCTTCCTGGCGTTTTTCCAGTGGTAACGATTTGATGAGTTTGGTATTGATTGTTGGCATAAGAAAAAAACAAATCTCCATCTTTCCTCTCAGCTCTGGCAGGAATCACCTGATGAGGATGAAGCCTGGAGCTCAGAACCTCCTCATCACATGATTTCATTAAATACACAAAACGAGTCAGTCAGGATGGCGAACCTTCTCACATGGAAGTGAAAGTATCATTTCTCCATTGCATCAGTGTGTGCTGAAACATCTGGACCTCAGCTATGATCACAAGATACTTAGAAGTTCATTAGGTACTTCCTGTTTAGGATTAAACGTTTTTTATTATTGTTATTAATTTAATTGCCAGCTGTTTATTCACAGTCTGTTTAAAACTGTACACAGTACATCTATGCAAAATGACAAATTTTGACAAATACTGTTAATCTTTTCCTGCCTTTTAACGTCAAATTTATCACGCACAATTCAGCCGAGCAGCTGACAGATCGGCTTGAGGAGAAAAGACTGAAAGGATCTGCTCTGCGTTCACCTCGTCACACTATTATGTGTTTTTCATTTACTTGCAGCATTTGCTTCATTTTATTTACTTAACTTATTTTTGGGACAACCAACTGCTCGACTCAAATCCTCATTCATCCCGCTGCCCTTCCCGGCACTAAAACGGATCAGGAGGCAAATCGGGGCTAAGTGCCTCGCCCCAGGGCACTTCGACAAGTTGGGGACGAATTGAACTCACAACCTTCTGATTGCAAGACAATTGAGCCAAAATGTTGGTGCGTTCACCGAATAAAAGCACAAACATACTTTCTTGTTTCAGCTTAGTTAGAATCACCAGGATTATTTCTTTAAACCAAAAATTAGATCTTAGTGATCAGTTTCAAAAACCATCCATGGAGTCGTATATTGTTTGCCTGAATGCTGACTCAGCAAAGCAGCGTCAGGGCGTGAACATGTTTGCACCCGGTGTATTGGCACTCTTGTTGTTGTTTTTTTTCATAAACATCAGCACTTAAAAAACTATTCAGAAAGAAAACATTTTTGAAATGATTTGTTGTGTTCTTTCTCTTTATTTACACACCCAACCGCCATCTTTTCATTGTTGCACATGTGACATTATTTCATGTCCGCCTTGCGACAGGACACACCTGCCAGATTTCTGTCGACTTGTTCGATCCTCAAACTTACGAGACGTCTTCTTTGGATTCGCAGAAACTCACCGGACGGTCCTGAGCCTCATCAGCTGTTTTGCCGGCGGCGTTTTCCTGGCAGCATGTTTGCTCGACATCATCCCGGACTACCTGTCGGACATGAGCGCAGAGATGGATGCTCAGAAGTTGGAGGTGTGTCCCAGTTAATCCAGGACCACGAGTAACAGTTATTTCAAATTTTACCAGTATGTTTGTACACAATTTCAAATGCTAGATCCAAAACTTTACAAATCCAGTAAATGTGTCTATTTTATAAGGTGAGTGAACACTTTTGTGTGTGAAAGAATTGAATGAACAAAAGGTGATGTAATCATTAGGGGTTTTTTTTGTTTTTTTTTGTCAATATTAACTGAGTTGTTGCAAGAAAAGTTTTGCCTGACTTCACCAGCCTGATCCTCTGACCTCTGCGTCAATCTTCAACAGACCAGCTTCCCCCTGCCAGAGTTCATCATGGCCGCGGGTTTCTTCACCGTCCTCATCCTGGAGAAAATGGTCCTGAGCTTCCGTCAGTCGAGAGGAGCTCACCACGGCGAGAGGGCGCCGCTGCTCCCGGAGAGCGGCCACAGTCACAACGGGGCCGCGACGGCGCCTGACCTGGAGGGCAGCGGCCACCACGTCCATGTGGACTTCCAGGCTCACTCCCCCTTTCGCTCCTTCATGCTTTTCCTCTCCCTCTCGCTCCATTCGGTTTTTGAGGGCCTTGCTATCGGCCTGCAGAGCACTGACTCCAAGGTGAGACGACGAAGAGGGTTCTTCTTGATCCCCTTCAGGTGTCATGTTGCTTTGCGCTGCTTTCTGTTTGCAGCATTACAGAGCTTTACTTTTGTTGTTAGAAAGAAAAAAGCTTGCCCAGTCAAGTTTGGAATCACATCTACAGAAAAGTGAGATATATTTAGTGCGAACTTTCAGTTTAAAGCTTCAGAACGCACTGAATGTCAGTGGATCCCAGTGGCATTACAGGACTGGATTTGCCTCAATACTCAGGTTTCACTTTGTGGAGCCGGCCCAAGGCATGTACAAACTAACCCACTGCTTGAATTTAAATTTCGACCTCTGATCTTTCTCTTCTTTTATGAAGAATCAGAAGATGTAAAGAGGACTTTATAATATGTCCTCTTTACATATTTTGCAGAATCTTTAAGATACGTGGAGATTTTGAAGAAAACATGGTGGGCTTTACCACAAATTTGAAAATGGGTCTTCATCATGTCTTAAATCATAAAATGGTTTACAACGTATGACTAAATCATCAGATAAATCGTTCACCTCCTCTGATGGCCAGTGTCTTTAGGCGTGTGAGCTGAAGAGAAAACCTGTGGAAAGAGCCGAGGACTCTGGACAATCTGGAGAGATAACGTTGAGGGGAATGGTCAAAGATCCCCTTTTCTGTATGCTCAGGCCTTGTGAAACGTTAAAGGAGAAGACGAAATATTGCCCTTTTGGTCAAAGGAGGTTTGTACAGAGTATCGATAATTGTGCCAATAGTTGGCTGAAAGCTGAACACAGAAGTTTTCTTCTCACTAAAAATGTTAAGTTAAAGGTTAGATTTTCTAGTGTCAGTTTATGCTGCTGCATTAAAAGATGCATTTATTTTTGTGCATTTTTTATTTTTTTTACACATCTGAAATGTGCATTTAGTTGCATAATTGAAACAAGCATCATGTGAACCAGTGGAGCAGCTTGATAACCAGTATCAGCTAGTTATCCATCTCTTATCTGTAGCTATGTTTTCCTATCACACTGTTCCAGTTGTGCTGGTCTGGATAAATATGTGCAGATAAAAATTTCAGACCTCATTGCTCACTTTGCAGTTGAAACCAAATGCTCTGAATAAAAATACAATCATGCGTCTCTTCACCCGATGGTTTGTGGAAGCTAAAAGTCTTTCAACAACTGCTCCACCCCTGTGCTGTGAAAATGAAAGGTTTTGTACTCAAATGTCCAGAAGATTCTTCAAGTTGTTGGTAAAATTTAGACATTTGAGTCTGGAAAATGTGTCTCTTTCCATGAGTTTTTGTCACAACTCTGTTCGGCCGTCTCCCCGTCATCATTCTCGCAATTTGCGCATATTTACCCGAGGTGCTGAGAAGTGCGGCAGGCTTTGTATTTACAACTTGGCTGCAGTTTAAATACAAAAGTATTTGGATCCCTGGAAGTGCCTTCCAAGAATCCCTAACAGTTTTGCCTGAGCTCACCACTGATGCCAAGATGCAGAAATGACCAGAACTTTTCTCGGTTTTGCAGGTGATGGAGATCTGCATCGCCATTCTGGTCCACAAAAGCATCATAGTGTTCAGCCTGTCCGTGAAGCTGGTCCAGAGCGCCATTCAGCCGATTTGGATCGCCTTGTACATCGGCGTGTTCGCCCTGATGTCGCCTTTGGGCATCGGCATCGGCATCAGCGTGATGGAGGCGCGGCTGGCGGCCGGCGCTCTGATCCAGGCCATCCTAGAGGGGCTCGCCGCAGGGACCTTCATCTACATCACCTTCATGGAGATCTTGCCGCACGAGCTCAACTCGGCCGGGAACCAGGTGCTCAAGGTGCTCTTCATCCTGCTGGGCTTCACCGTCATGGCCTCCCTGACGTTTCTAGGCTGAGCAGAGCATCTGTGAGGGGGAGGGGATGCCCCACAGATGCTTCTGTGCTTTGTGCCTCCGACACCCGCTTCCCACAAGCCCATTGGTCACTTTATCTCAGAGACTCCTGGCATTTTTCAACAAATATTGCTGCACTGTCACACTAAACTCTGGACAATTTTACAACGCGTCAACTTTCACAACATGTTCATATTGCGATAAATGTTGAGAGTGTTTATGCTGCAGGAAATCAGTTGATGTTTCTATGTTGTTTTAAGATGATTTTATCTACAGAGAAGCCGCTTGCATGCCTGCCATAAAGAGAACTCAGGTCAGTTTATTGCTCTTTTGTTTTTGTTTTTTAAGGCTTCAGACCTGCATCAACTTGACTTTTTTGCAATGTTACAAAAGCAGCTGGAAACAAAGCACATCGTTTAAAGCCAAGGATGTCATGAATGAAGCGTTTCAGTGATTCTCCATACAGCATGTGAAATGTTTACGTTTTATCTCCAAGTTGAAGAGGAAGTTTGACGGCTCCCAGTTTGAACTGCACTATTTGTTGTTTTTTTTTTAAGTTACACTCCTCGTTTCTGGGTCACTCTCCCATCTTAATAATTTCCTCTAAATGCAAGCCTTTTATGACTTTTACCAAACCCTCGTATCTTTTTTGCACTGACTGTTTTTCTTAATAATTCAGTGATTCTGAAATTCACACAGAAAAACCTGCTTATAAAGTGAGACTTTCCATTTTTGCAAGACTAGATGAGCTTTAAGTATTTGCAGATCACGGCATGAGGCCTCAATGTTGAGCAACGCTCATTTACTGGCCGAGAAGTAAAAGTCTCGAGCGGCAATCTGTCACCGTATTCCCTATTTTAGTTTGTCATGTGTCTGATTGTTTCCTCATTGTGGTGAACATGCAGATGACAGCAGAGATGTTGATGCCACCTAAAGCAGCAGACTGTTCTTTTTTTCTTTTTTTACTTATTACATTTCAAATAAATGGCGTCCACAGTTTTCACTCCTGCTTTTTGTGACCCAAGTATCAGTTTGACTCATCATTTGCTTTGTAGTGTGAAAACCTGTTATAAGCAAAGATTCTGTATGACTGCCTGTTTTACTGAGATTGTGCCTTCTTGATCATCTTTTTAAGGATTTATAACCCTGATCAAAGTAAAGAGATTATGACACTAAAAGAAAGTTGAACAGTGTTTTTTTTATTATTATTATTCTATATATTAATATAGTTTTGATTTGGTTTGACGTCAGCTTGATTTACCTGCAGATTTTTTTTTTTGTTTCAAGGTTTGAATGGATCGGTTTGCTCAACTAAATGATTTCTGCAGCCACCAGGTGGGGCTGCTGCTTCTCCGACTAATTTTCTTTCCTTTTTCAGAAAAATGCTTCATGTATACCTGACTGAATCATGTCAATTGTTATGAGTGGCTTCCATATTCGGCTTCTAATAGGTATTTTGACCTCTCGTGTTTTTAAAGCAGTTTGTAAACATTCAACAATATAAACAGCGCACTCAGTTAAAAAATAAAAGTCAAACCTTTTTGGACTTTTCGGGACATTTTATTTTATTTTTTCCTACTTTAGGAAATAATTCATTTGTACAGCAGCACCCCTTCCTGAAACACTTTGTATAAGGGCTAACAGCACCTTTACCAAAAGAGCTGCAAGTCATCTTCACTTACATGCAGACTGTCCCTTTTCTCCTTAAATCTGTCTCTCTTTACGCTTGCTTCAGCTTCCTCCTTTTCCAGAGGACCTCAGATGGCAGAGAAAACGGTTAATTTTGTGTCTGGGGAACCATTTCTGTGTTTATTGAAGCATTATGTTCTTTACCTGCTGGAAGACATTGAAGGGTTCATAATGCCGTGCACTCCAGTGTGGCTGCATGACAGAGAAATGCAGTTCCAGTTAAAGACCCATTGGTGTTATGTTGAGTTGTTTTGCACATTTGTGTTTGGGACAATATGACAGGAAATAATTGAAATAACAATAGTTATGGAGACTTATAGACCACTCTATGCCGGTGTCATGTGCTACATATATAGCACTTGCATTTCAAGGTAGATGCCACTTTTTGCTCAGTGAGTTTTGGAGATTTAATTGGCCTCCCTTTACATCCTTAGCAGTTTGATCAAAAAATAAATACGGGTTTCTAACATCCACTCCTGCCTGCGTATAGAGTCTTCGGATGATGTGCTGTACACCATCGAGAAGATTCATTGTTCCAGGACCAGAGCTGAATCCCAGACAGGGACGAAGTGTCTGATGTAGCATTTGGAGACCTTGTTAACCCCCTGCTTGCTGCTGTGAGGTGATAGGAGGTCATCCATAAACATCCACTAATGAGGAATGCTTCTAGGGGGACAAAAGCACAGTAAATGTGCCAGCTTGACAACACAGAGACCTCAGTGTGTAGAGCTGGACGGCGGAGTGCTCAGCTGTGGTGGGGGACAGGCGCTTCATTTGTTTGTCCCGCTCATTAACCTCGTCTGAGCGACAGGACTCGATTGTTTTCTCACATATTGCTCTCAGAGCGGAAACACGTTGCTTCCTGTCAGTGTTGACATGTTGTGCCACACGTGGCTGTGGCAATCTTTACTACGTTACTGTACATTATGTTATGAGATGAGACAAAGACAAAAAAAAAACATCAACGGAGACTGATGAAACTCATTTTAATGGAACACTTTTCTTCATTTTCTAAATGTCAGTCTTTGCTGATACGGTTTAACTCTGTTCTACCTTTAATTAGGCTAAAAGCAGATTATCATCCAACAGTCTGTTTAAAATTCGTTGGGTTTAGCAGGTGCTGATGAATTTCAGTCGATGTTCGCCTGTTCAGTGGAAAACGCTGCACTGCGGAAGCCCTGAAAGGTAAAGAGAACATGTTTTTAGAAACCCATGTTGTTCAGAGTCTGACCAAATGTGGTTTCTCTCTTGACTTCAAAAGTCTTGTAGTTTGTTTTTTTTTTCTCCTTGTGGAGCAGCTTTTTGTTCCTGAAGGGTAGAATACAAAAATCAATTACAATGTGCAAAATTTAAACAATTGTGTTTGTCTATGAAGCATTTCTGACCATAAAAAGACTATAAAAACAACCAAAAAAAAGCTGGAAGACTGAGTCAGGGGATGAAGTACGAGGACACCTAGTGGGCAAAACAAAAGAAGCAAGACAAATATAGAAGCTAAGATTTTGTTTTCTGGTTGGATGACTTTAGGTAAAGCACAAGGATATCATTAAAATTTACTGCAATATAAGTTAATGTTTGTCCAAACTCAATGAAAACATTGCAAAATATTTTCAAATTTGACTCAGAAATGTAACTTCTGCTTTGTAGCAGGAAGGCTACAACAGTCAGTGAAAGTTATTTTCAGCTGAAAAACAGAAAAGGTCTGCAACAAACTAAAAGTGAGTGATTTTGTCAAGCCTCGTCGCTACGGCCAGCGGCTGGTACTTCAGAGCCCCGGGAGTCTGATGCTGTGCGATCATGGGAAATTAATCCATAATCTGGGACAGAAAACAAGAGCTGCCCCTTCCCCCTCCCACCTCTGCAAGGAATGTGCACAGAAATGCTTTATGGGAAATTAAAAGCATGATTTCTGCATCGTGGGTCGTCTTGCTCACATGACGGCCCAACGGGCCCAGAAGAGTTGAGACAGAACCCGGGCTTTGCATCACATGTGCTGGTCGGCTTCCAGACTTACACAGTGGAGAGGGGAAAAAAAACATTTTATATGATGCTTAGGAAGAAGTGTTACAGTCAATGTAAATCATATTAGTTGAGCTAAACCAATGTGTTCTGCTGTGTAGACATATTCCAGTGGTTCTTCAGAAAAGAGGGACGAAACATGTCCAGAGGATAAAGCACAAAATTTTAATAAAATATACACAAAATATTATTATTTCAAATATCTGACTAAAGTAACCTGGGCCATGTGAGCATGACACTGTACATTTTCTTGGTGTTTGCTGAATAATTTTTATTTTAAACTCTGTAATAGGTGGATGGTGCCTTTAAAGTCCTGGAGCAGAACTCAATACATTATGATAGTTTAAAACAAATAAAGGAATACTAGGAATATATTATGACAATTAAGTATAAGCATTCAACTAAATAATCATAAAAGTATCAACAAATTTAATTAAAAATCATTTTTAGATATTTTCCAGCTCAGTTGAATTTTCTCCCAGGTTTTTTGTCAACGCTGTCACTTAATGTGTGTCACTTAATTTCAGTAAGTGACACACATTGCTTGGATTAATTAAGCGTAGATGAATTATTTCTGTTAATTATGGTAATTTAATGCTTGCAGTTAATTCCAGTGTAAGTGTCCACAATTATGTCTGACTTGTATGGAAATGACATTGTTGTCATCAGATTTGCAGACATTGTGGCTTTGTGTGCAGTTTTGTGCTCTATTCTCGCCTTTATTCTGTGTTTTCAAAATTAAAACACTTAAATAACGACATGTTGTGTAAAACTGGGATAAGCAAGCAAAAAGTAAGGGACTAAAAACCACAGTGACAAAAAAGCAGCAGGAAAGCAAAATGAGACAGTTTCCAGGTCATCTGGGGAAATAAGACATTGACTAGAAAATTACAAAATAACCAAAGAAAGTTGGCAAACAAAAGAGTAAAATTAATTGAAAGATTGGAAAGTGGTAAAAATTCCAATCATAACCCAGCATCTTCTCCTTCACGGGCGACATCATGTTGATTAGCTGCTCGCTCTAATCTGTCCAGATTAATCCGTCTCTGAGTTTCCTGGACCTCCCGCCCCTCCGGCCGTCCTCTCCGCGCTCCTGTCCTCCGCCACTCTCTGTGGGATTCTCATCCTGTTTGCACAAGGTAAGGCTGCTCAGACCTTTCCTTTTTTTCTTTCTCCTTTGTAAAACAACAGACTAAAACAGATCAGCAGATACAGACAAATGTTGCGACAGAGTTGTCTAGTGTTATTGATTGATAAAAAAAATTAAAAAGAAAAGAATACTTGTACACAAATTTAATGTTTGAAAAAGGCAGGAGGGGGTTCTTCTAGGAAATAAATATGCAATTTATTTGTAATTTAAATTTGTTTGATACTTGAGGCTGCAATGATATTTAAAAAGCTATGTGTAAAAGGAATATGTGTAAAAGGAGAGACGAAGCAGAGCGTTGTTGTTTCAGCTGTAAATCAACATTTATAGCAACTTCTCATCATATATGTGTTTTTAAAGATTACTTTAATTATCTTTTATAAACCTTAAACAACACAGGTGCCATAGTCACAGTTGTATGAATTTTATAATAAATTCATACAAAGGGATGATTTTTTAAATCATCCTTTTATTCATCAAAACACAGAAAAAAAACAGAATAAATTATGGATCTTTGTTCAAATGCGAACAGTAGATACACATTAAGATTCCCTAGAGACAAGACTAATATTTCTGATTGAATATCCACAAGAGAAATGTTTTATTTCTGCCAAGTCATTCTAAAGTGTGTTGTTGAGTGAAAAACATTCCCTAAGAAAACATTTCGCTCCATCTCTTTGGTTCTGGGATGGATCAATGAGGAGATTGATTCATCTGTGACCAGTTTTTCTTTCTTTCTTTTTCTATTTTTTAAAAAAGACAAGAAAAGCTTCTGTCTGCCTGTTCTTCTGTTGTTTTGCAGTGACAGTGTTGCCGCTGTGAGACGCTGCGACCATGGCTGCTGTAAGTTCAGCTACTTCCCACACCTCAGTGCTGCTGCTTATCTTTACCAATAAAAATGAAAAAAAAAAAAAAAAAAGCATTTCGTTTTGAACGTCTGGCTGATCATGCATGTTGTGTGAAATGGACGCCACGGACGTTCTTCAGCTCAGGGTCTTCTAGCTGGAGTAGTTGCTGTTGGGTTGTTGGGTTTTCAATCTAAAGCAGCAGAGTCTTGGTCGTGCAGACTGGAACTTTCCGCATGGTGTCCGAGGAGGAGCAGGCCATGAGGTCAAAGCTGGAGCACCTGACAGTGAAGGACCACGGGCCAGTGTTTGGACCGTGCCACAAACTTCCAGGCCACACTGTCCAAAAGGTGAAACATCTGAAGTGAGGCTGCTGGTTTATTTGTTAGTTTTTTTATTACATTTTGGGTGTTTTTTTCAGGCAAAGGATGAGCTGCATGAGACGAATGAAAGACGAGGGTCATCCCTGAAAGATCTGCGGGCCATGATGGAGGAGAGGGCGTCAGAGGGAGACGACCTGGCCAAACTGGTGCTGGACCGCTTCGGGGACAAACCGGACTCGCTGCTGGTCCGCTTCCTCCGAGCACGAAAGTTTGACGTCACCAGAGCCCATGAGCTCATGAAGGGTGAGACACAGAGACAGCAACTATCTGCTGGGTTATTCGCTGCGGTGGTTGGAAGCAGCAGCTGCAGCTTTCTTTCTTCACGTCAAACTGATCTTTTTCTTATGTAACATGGGATAAAGAGAGACATTTTCAAGGCTTTCTTCATAGTCAGAAGTTGGTGCTCTCTTGCATTATTACATCTTTAAACGATTTTGGAAACTTTATTTCACAGCAATTGAAGTTAAATTAAGCCAAACCTGTACGTGCATCTTGCTTTCGTCAAAAATCTAATGAAATTATTAAAGGAAAACATTGTGGACCTTTAAAAAATCATTGTTGTTTGAATTCCAGATATATCTAATCTAATATCTAATCCAGTGTGAAGATGCCAGCTGAAGCCATCTTGACGCATAGAAATCAGCTCTGTGTGGAGGTGGGCTGAAAGAAGGAAGCCATTCCTGTAAGAAGACTATATTCAGTTTACAAACACAGTCAGGGGAAAAAAATAATAATTTTTGAACTTGTGTTCTGTGTTTTGCTGGTCTCTGGCCAGCATCCTGACTGCTGGAAGTGTAATGTGTCGGCATCAGCTGTGCAGCAGCAGCAGTGAAATAAGCATATTCGAGTGCTTTCCAGGTCTCAGTGTTGTTTGGAAATTATCCACATAAAGGCTCAACATCAGCCGATCAATGAAAGAAGTAAATAACGCAGGTTGAAGCAATGCATGACCGTCCAGTTGGCTTCCCACTTCTCCCAGTGTGAACTCACTTTTCCAACAAGCCAGTAGTAATGCATAGTGCATGATGACCAATGATAATTTCACACCTCATTTAAAGAAAAAAATATACAAACTCTCCAAAGCTTGGGCGCAACTTCTGAATTTGAAGAAAGTAATGAACCAGCTAATTAGACTGAACTTTTCCAAAAGTAAAAAGAGAAAAATAAAAGGTGCCTCTCTTTATCTACAGTGGATGTAAGTAACTGGATTCAGCTGTATATGATTTAGTTCAGCTCCCGCATGTAACTTTCAAAAGCTTCGGTAATTAAGTCGACCTTTTGTTTCCTCGTTTTATACGTCTCTGAAACAGTGGGTCACATATTCATTAATTGGGAGCCTTTTACAAAGCCCTCCTTTGTGTCCAAATTGGACAACTAGTTGATTCTACTTGTTGGCCCTCAGTGACATGCTGGGAACCGCGGCGTGCCTGAGCTGAGCGGGAAATGTTGGAGGTCGGACAAGACGATAAAGCAGAAGAGGCTTTGATTGGACAGGAGGACGCCTTCTGGTTCAGATCCATGCACTTCAAAACACACATGTACTCTTCCACTGTGCAAACCTTCCCGTGGTCACACTCTTTACATTTTGTTTTGTTTTAACCAAAAGGGTTTGAGACTTCTACCCCAAAACAACACATAGAAATACAGGAAGCACAAAATCATGTGGGTGAACAATTGGGGTTTGTTTGGATGAGAGCAAGATGTAAACAGCGAGTTTTCTCTGTAAGGTTATTTACCTAAACAAATAGATTTCTGTTGATAATTGGTGCCTCAAAACAAAAGAAGTATTGGCTATGAGACAATATCGTTTTTGTGTCAGATTCCGAGCACCAAAAGTAAAAAAAAAAAAAAAAAAAAAAAAAACAGGAAGTAAAAAGCTTTCTTTTTCAGTTTTATTGTGCAAGTAGTGTTCAGGCTGCACACTATGAATTGCTGATTTAGCATTACTGCAGGTTCTCTTTTCCATTTCGGGTTGAAATTAGTCTCTCTTTTTTTTTTCCTGGAAGTCTTTGTCCATGACTTTTGAAGTAATCTATACTCTCATTGAAAATGCATTTGAAGTTGGAAACAAAGAGTCATATGGAATGGAGGTCAATGGAGATCAGTGGAGGTCAATGGCACAAGAAGGATGTAAATTAGTTCAAAAGCCAAATAATAATGACAAAAAAAAAACAGTCCGAGTTCTACAAAAGGTAATTGATTTAATAAATAAAAATAAATAAATAAAAAAGGATCCAACAGGGGTAAAACCTTTGGACTGTACTTTCTGTGCTGTTGTGTCTTCTCCAGGTTATGTGCGCTTCAGGAAGGATTACCCCGAGCTGTTTGAGAACCTCACCCCCGAGGCGGTCCGCAGCACCATCGAGGCAGGCTACCCGGTGGTTCTGCCCAGCAGAGACAAATATGGCCGCGTGGTTCTGCTCTTCAACATCGACAGCTGGGACCTGGAGGAGATCACCTTTGATGAGGTGGCTGCATTGACGCACCTGCCTCTCACAGGAAACCTCCTGCAAGAACTCAGGAGCTCGAAGCAAACTCTTTTGCGATGTGTTGCAGGTGCTGAGAGCCTATTGCGTGATCCTGGAGAAGCTGCTTGAAAACGAGGAGACTCAGATCAACGGATTTGTCCTGATTGAGAACTTTAAAGGCTTCACCATGCAGCATGCCTCGGGAATAAAGACTGCTGAGCTCAAAAAGATGGTGGACATGCTGCAGGTCAGAGCACACCCAGAGAAATGACCCTACAGAACAAAAAAAAAGTCTGTGAATCTCTTCTGATTCACATAGTTCTAGTTTATGTCTCTCTTTAACAAAGAGGCCCTCTGGTGGAGAATTTAAGTACCACAAGTAGCAAAACTAGTCTGAGATCAAATTCCAAAATATTAAAAGTAAATGAAAAAACTGATTGACAACAAGCTTTTGTTCCCAAAGGAAAAAAAAATAAATAAATGAATCCCCTACAGTCTTGAACATTTCATGTAATATTTCTGCAAAAGGAGAAATTACACATCAGAGTGAAAATGTATCAGAATGACATATTAACAGCTAAATAGGTATTTGTTTACAATCTGGTTGCAAATCACAAACACTTGTATCTTGTAAAAATTCAACAATATGGGAGAGAGACCTTTTTTATTTTTTTTATTTTTATTTTTTACTTTTTAAATTCCAACATTGAAGATATTTAGTTTCGCCAAATGCGAAACCAAATAAAATGAGTATCAGCAGTCACTTTAGTGTCACTTTAGTGTCACTTTAGTGGGAGTGAAACAAAACGAGTTGAATGAGTAAAATACAGCAACATTCTCAAATACAGAGGAAAAAAAATCAAATATCAATAAATGTGATGAAAATATGAGTATCAAATGAAAAACTCTGGATATGCAGGTCACTTGTTTTCATATTTAATTACTTTTTTTCATTTTCAAGTTCAATTTCATTTAGTCACTGGAATAAGTACATTTCGATGAGGTGCTGACATTTGTCTGAGATGTAAGTTATTAGTAAATGATACAGTTTGTTTTTATTTGGGTGTTTTGTCCAAACCAACCAATAAGAAGCATGATCTTCAAAGTCCAGCTTGCTCTTTGACTGCTGCCTTTAAAGGGTTGAAACCATCTTCAGAGTTTGACCTGAAAGCCGTGTGTCTGCCTGCGTTCCTCTGCAGGACTCCTTTCCTGCGCGCTTCAAGGCGGTCCATGTCATTCACCAGCCCTGGTACTTCACCACGACCTACAACGTGGTCAAACCCTTCATGAAGGCCAAGCTGCTGGAGAGGGTACAAACAAAGATACACCAGCCTGCTCTTAATTCATTCAAGAATCATCTAATGCTTCCCTCGATGCTCCACAGGTCTTTGTTCACGGTGAAGAGTTGGAAGGCTACTTTAAAGAATTTGATGCAGACATCCTGCCGTCAGATTTTGAAGGAAAAGCCCCAGTGGCCGACTATCAAGGCATCGCAACCCAACTCTTTGGCTCCGAGGACACTGCGCTCTGAAAGAACATTCCCACGTTTTTTAACTGAAGCATGTTGCAGAGGTCAGTCTGCAGATAAGACTAAAGTATAAATAGAGGGGAAATGACGCCTAGATATCATGGAGAATAATTCTTACATTTTGTTTATACTGCAAGGCACTGGTTTCATTATGTGTTGTTGAGTCGGGGAAGGAAAGCTACATGGGGGCATCATGTTTCAAACAATCAGATGAATTTGGTTTGATTTAAATGTGGGATGCATAAGGCTAAACCTGGATAAAATTAATCCTGGGTGCAGAAGTGTCCGTCTTTCAGATTTTTGTGCTTTGCAATAATCAGTTGGACTTTATGAATATTATTCCTTCTAACACGGGAGTGGATTTGCCTTAGTTCAGTGTGGCGCCTTCAGAAAATGTCTGTTCATCAGCAGTCATGTTTTCACTGAAGCAAACTTCTTTCCTCATCTGTTGTTTTTTCTTCCATTGAGCTGAAGAAAAAAAAACTTGCTCCAAGACACGTCTATAGTTCTGTAAAAGTTAGGTTGTTGAAATCTGTTAACCTTGTATTTCATTTAACTTGAGTGTAGCAATAAACTCAGTTTACACCAAGAGTTTTTTTTTCTTTCTTATTTTGCCATTAGCCATGTTTAGTCCAGCCTGACCCACATTGAAGAGCCACTTTTCTCCCTCATGCGTCACCTCAGGCTAAATTTCCACCACGAGTTTCTTGACTGAAACTACTTCTACTTAATGCATTAAACACAGAAATGCATACGTTTCTCCCAAAGACCGTGCCGATAAGTGGAATCTGAATGAGTTTAGTTTCCTGGAATTCAAAATCATATTCCTGGACTTTTTTATGCTATTAGAAAGAAATATCTGTGAAGCTTAATGCAGTTTTACTCTTTTTACAGAAGATAAATATAGCTCTCATTAGCACTCTAGTAAATTATACCATTCCACAATTAATCATATTTATCAGTAAATCAATTATTCAACTAATAAATCTGAAAATACTTTCTTTTTCAATGAGTGATCACTGCTTTATAAAAACCTCATGTTTTAATTGTTCCTCAGGTGTATGATCCATTTTCCTGACTTAAATTAATGTTTCTGAAAGAGGAAAATAAACCTAAGTGTGTTAGCTCTCGTTTCACACAATATGCTGAGGAAACAAAAAGAAAGAAGAATCTTTCTTCATTTGAGAAAATAATTTATTTAACACAATAACCATGTTTCCTCACGATTAGATCAAACACTCCACTGGTTTTCTTTTTTTTTTTTTTTTTTTTTTAAAAACCCCAAAACAAAGTAGCCAGTGTTGAGTCTTAGAGTACACCATGTTGTGTGACTGTGCAGGTCCCTTCAAGCTGTCACCGCACTCCTTAAACCATACTCAAAAAAAAAAAAAAAAAAAAAAAACTAAATTAAAGCTGTATAATGATACCTGTATGTTATTACCCAAGTGTTTTAGGCTGAATGACTTTTCGAGAAAGAAAGAAAAAGTGTTTAAATGAACACAATGAGCAACCATCATAAAGCCGAGCGATTGTGTTTTTATATATTTAAAGCAATCGGGGATAAATGATGTGTTTGTTTGCAAGCAACTAAATACGAGTACAGAATCCTGATGCCTGAAGCACTGGCGTTAGGATAAATATCTTACATCAGAACTTTTTAGATTCCACAACTTACTACAAAATTACCCCAATGTGCATGACATGTTTGGTATAATAGTTTTACCCCTTTTAAAATCTCAAGTGTCAAAAGAGAAAAAAAAATATCCCTGACTGGTTATTGCCATGATATTTATTTTACTGGTCCCTTAAAAAAATAAAATAAAGTCCATGTAATTCACCTTTTCTTTTCTTAAATTTTTGGTTACTGATGATCAGAGGTGTTGAAAATGACACAGTAGTCTCCCATTTACACAAGACGCAAACTCTGCTGGATTTACCAAGCAACAAGAGAAAAAGAGACAAAATGGAAATACAAAATACAAAACAAGAAAAATAATACACACAAAAGATCTAAATAATACATCCAAGCATGCAGTTTTGTGCAAAGTTGGAGAGAGAGGCCTTGAAAAAAAAAAAAAAAAAAAAAACACCAGATGGCTTTTAGTGCAGAATCTGGGTTAGTGCTGGTGACGATCCTTCAGTGAGCCTGAAGAGCCCCGAAATCATGTCTGCTTAATAAGAAACGAGAGCTGTGGGCAGGTGAAACCATGCAGCAAGACTGTGGGTGGATGAGAAGACGATAGGTACGAAGGTCTGGGAGTTGTAGTTACATCTCCCTGACAGCAGATGGCAACAGTGCCATTAGAGGCGAAGAACAACTGATGTGGCCAAGTGCATATTAGAAAAAGTAAAAATATTGGAGATTTTTCAAGTTCAATACGTTCTGATTCTGGTCAATCTCTTTCAATTTTCTCCTCACAGAACGTCGGGTCCAATCATCATAGTGGAGAGATTACTATCTGGAATTTATAACATCTGTTCTGAAAAAAAAAATTATATATATATATATAGACTTACAGATGAGCTTAGCACTTAATCACAACCAATTTTAGTCAAGACTATTAAAGCAATGAAGAGAAAAAACTAAACAACACACTATGCCTACAGAGAATTAAAGTTAAAGGCTCAAGATATAAACTTTTTTGTTATTCTAGCAGCTCAGCTAGTTTACCTGAGTAAAAATAAAGTTTGGCATGGACCGGTTTTGATTCTTACAGCTTAACAAAAGGCACTGTTGTCATTCACGTCATCATTTCAAACCACCCATGTGTCTCATCGTCACAGTGTTCAGCAGCAGCAGCAGCTTTTCGACCACAGGGTTCCCAGTCTGGATGAAGCGCTGACAGAAGCTTCCTGAGCCCTTACAACAAGGTTTGTGTTCACTTTCGACATAGTTCCCGGTTGTGGCAGATCCACAAGTCCCAGCACTTACAGTTTGATTTTGACATCGTGCTGCGGCGCTTCCAACGCTTTAAACACAGTACGGTGGAAAGAAAACATAAATAAATACAATTCTTAAATACGTTGGCTGAAAGAAAAAAAAAATACTCAAAAAGAACAGAAAGCTATTTTTTGACAAGCAGCCTCCTTCACCTCAATATACAATCGTAATCTAATAAAGCAAAAGTTTGGTTTGGCCTGGGTGTCTTTAGCCCTCCTACTCACCACAGCTCACAGAAATGCAAAAAAAAAAAAAAACTACTTCTGCACCGCATTGGATCAGTTTGTGTTGTTTTACAGCGTTTGGTCGTCATTGGAGGAACAAAGCCGACTGCTAGACCTGCAGCTGATCAAAGGTAGAAGGAAGTAAGAGGGCTGAAGAGACACTTTCTGGGAAACAAAAGTCAGTCACATAACCGCTTGTTAACTCTTCATATTTGTCAAAGGACAGCTAAACCGTTACTAAACGCAATGCTCACACATCCGCAAAACATCGTGGCATTCGGGGTGTAAAGTGCACTGAATTAAAGTGGTAGAATGTGCGCGAGGGAATGTGGGTTTCATCTCATCTTGTGGTTCGCTCCCGGTCATGTTTGCAGAGAAAACGCTAAAGTTCGATTTTACACAACAAACATGAGCAGCCAGAGGCAGTTATGAGCTGCAAATGATGCAGAAAAATCCCAGGGTAATTCTTTTTTTTTTCTACTGCACAACAAACAATAGGTCATCGGAAAAAAAAATAACAACAGCCCATGAAAGGATAATTTGCTTCATACAAAACAGACTCTACATCCCATCGTTGGTGACCAAGACACACACAGATGTACTCTTAACATCTCCCAGCTCACACACACACAGACACACTAACAAATACAGCAGACTAGGCTCTATGGGCTTGGCGGTGATCAGCAGTGAGCTTCTTATGGGTGCAGTAAATAGGCACCGGCAGTCGCACTGACCTCACTTCCTATAACTTCTTATGTGCTTGTTTCTCATTGGTTATATAAACAAAAACGTCCTACTGGCATTTCTTTCCAATTAAAGTCAGCTCAACTTTGATCTTTTATTATATTTGGTCTATGCATCCATTAACCCGAGGGTCACCGCTGTTTGTATGGAGAGTGACAAAAGGTTCCAGCTCTCAAGTCAAGGCAGTTTGTTTAGTTTTTCTGTGGTTGTTCTTGTTGTCCACACCATGTGAGGTGATGGTGGTTTCAAATGGGTGTAGAAGGAGTGTGTGTGTGTGTGTGTCTGGAAGTGGTGAGTAGCACCAGAGGAGAAGGCAGAGACAAAGAGCAGTTTAAAGTGTCTCCTCAGTGCCGTGTTGGAACCGGGGTGCTGCAAAGTGTGAGATGTTGAAATGAAGAATGAGAACGAGAGAGAGAGAGAGAGAGAGAGAGACAGAGGGTTAGGCTTTTGCCTCTACGCAGGAGCTCTCGGTGAGGTGGCTGGCTTGGCAGGGCGCTTTCTGTTTCTCCCACTGGCACATGGCGTTGGCGTAGCCCACGATCACTTTGTCCATCCAGGTGAGGGGCTGAGGGAAAAGCACGTCGCCCTCGAAGAAGCCCAGGTGGCCTCCGTGAAGCGTCAGGGCGAAGATCACGTTCGGCTTCTTTGCTAAAGAACGACACAGAGCAGACGTTAACACCTCAACTTTTTCCATCACCACCATCAGGGACGAGTCTATGCCTCTGACTCAAAGCACGGCCATGTTTGCCCTGTGATCAGCTTGAATGCAGATTGTATTCCAGAACAGCCGGTGCACTTTTTGTCCTGAAGCAATTTTTAAAATAAACCAGCTAAGAAGGTCTTAGCTATAAACTAAAAGGTCTCACAGCTGAGGTTGTTGCAAAATGTGCTACATAAATAAACTTTGACTTGACTTGATAATTTCCACAGCATAATCTTGAGTCATGGAGTGGGTGTGGAAGTCCTGCTTTTCTGCACAATACTGGGCCAGATTTTACTTGCATGATTTTTTAGGTCACTACAGCAATGAAGCGACCAAATGTGAGGACACATCTCAAGCATTAGGCATTTAGACTTTACAGTCTGTTTCTCACAATATGCTCTGTGGCCCTAAAAATAAAAAAAAACAAAACAAAAAAAACACATTAACCTCATACTGCAAAAAAAGAGGTAGGAAGAGAGGTTAAAATAACTTGATGGCATCTGCAGCAAAATCTCCTCTTCTGCATAAGACTCAGATAGAAACTCTGTCATGAATTATTCCTTTGTAAGATGAGCGTTTTAAATGGAAAACATCAGTACATCCTTCTCACACAGAAGTTTGTGTGTTTGTCTTTCTAATACGTTTCAGTGACTAAGACTGACTCAATCAGGATTATTCTTGCTATGTTCACAATTTGGGGTAAATTATGTAAATGTTAGTGGCAGGTTGCTCTATATAATAAGGGAGTTTCTCCTGGTTATTTAGATTTTATTACTTTCCTTCCCAAACCAGTGCATTCATGCTAGCCTTATGTTCAGAAGAATAGTTAAAGTGTCCCTTATGCACACTCTGAAATATCCTTTAATCTGCTTCTGTTAGAGTGGTGCAGCTGTTGACAACTGGCCATAGTGGTCTCATGAAAAGAACTGGCCTGGTTTTCTTTCACTCTCCTGTCCTTATCTGGGTTAGTGGAGTAGTG